TTCGTGCATAGTTTCAGAAAATAAAACAACATCATCTTGGAATACAAAACAATTTACTCCCACATGTTTGGAGAGTATAGAATTCATTACCCGCTGGAAGTAACGTCCTGAGTTCTTCCCCCCTTGGGGCATGCGGCATAATTGATACTTACCCCAAGGGGTTGTAAAGGCAAACACCTCCCGTAGGTGGGGGGCCACAGGTATCTGAAAATAACCGGAATTTAAGTCCAGGACAGAGAACACCTTCCCCCCTTTCAGCTGGGCTAAAATATCATCAATTCTCATCAAGGGAAAATCTTGTCCCCTGGTGACCTCGTTGACCTTCCGCAAGTCCAAGGTAAGGCAAATTTCCCCACTACTCTTTGGGATAATGTGTATAGGAGAGTTCTACTCGAATAGCGACGGTTCAATGATGCCCACCTCTAAATACTGCTGGATTTTGTCCTTCAATTTCGATAGGAAGGTATGCGGGATACGGTATTGCCGAGTGTATATTGGGGTGCTGGTGCACAATTCAAAGTCATGGACATACTTAGTGGTACCTGTTAGCTCTTCGACTGCCTCACTGAAGATATCAGAGAAGTCATGGATGAGCTTTTGTACCCCTACAGCCTGATCCGGAGGGAGGTGGGTCAAGTCAATTTGCGTAGTGAGGTTAGGTGGCTTGGGTGCTTCATGAAGGGAAGCAAGTGCAAAGGCCAGATTTTTCTCCGTCGGAGGGCTCTCTCGTCATGAGACACGCAATTTTAATTAACATCTCAGGGTAAGCGCGCAGGAAATCCTTACCAAGGATTCCCTGATTACCCACCAAGATTTCCGAATCCACTACGATAAATTTCACGGGAAATGCCTTACCGTTCAACCTTACATTAGTCGATATTTCAATATTGCTTTCCATAACACCGCCAGACACTCCTTTCACACGTACATTTGCAGTGCTGGTATTGAGGGAGCTTCCCTTTAGGTGATCCAGTTCACAACGATTTATGAGCGATTTTTCTGCACCGGTGTCTAATAATAAGTGTAGTGCACGGCCATTGATCTTGCTGGAAATGTACGGGAGGCTGTGGTAATTCATGTCCGGTTCACTTGCCAGTTGAATATCTACTTCGGAACCACCGTCCTGGCTGCTATGGTGGTCCCATTCTAGTTTAAATTTTTCGGGCAGTTGGCACATAGGTGGTCCCTACTTCCGCAGGCGAAACATCTTTTATTCCGACCGGGTATGACTTTGGCCTTTGTTAGGTTGCGTTCACCCTGCCCACCAGTAGATCCCAAAACGGCATCAGACAGCTGACTTATCTAAGCAGACTTATCTAAACAAGCCATGATCTCTGCACCATCTATGTTACTCTTGTCGGGAGTTGATTCAATATGACGAGGTACCACGACACTGCCTACCTGAACTTCTTTGAGCCCACAGGCTTGCTCGATTTTTGCCAACTTCTCGGCCAACTCGACCGCCTCATCAAATGACTTTGGTTCGCGCTCTAACAGTTTCATTCTTAAGTCGGGGTTTATCCCTTGCGTGAATTGATTGCTTAACATAAAAAAATTCTCACCATTACAATTCTATAGTCCTAGCTGTTACACTCGTTGTAATCCAATCTAATTCAGGAACACACCAAAAAAAAAAACCAAGTCCACAGCAGAAGGAGCACCAAGTGTTCCCTGACTCCTCTATCCATCCACGAGGTAAGAAGGATAATCTCCTATCCGGTCCATGGCCTTAAATACCTCCCTTACACCTTCCCCAAGTTGCCACCCCTTTTTCCCCACGGCTGAAAAGTAGCCAAAAAAAAGCAAAAAAAAAAAAACTATATGACACGTATAAGGCAGAGGGCTACAACCACACAAGTGAAAATGCTGAATTTCACTTCCTTCTGAATTTGCGGCTTGACAATGGAAACAGATTGCATTATCCTCACAAGGCACATCTCTTTGGTTTTGGCTCACCAGTTTGGTTGTCATTACCAAGCATAAAGGTAAGGAGAAAAGATGTCTGTGAGGAGATCATTTATACTACCTTGTGCGCCTGCTGTCGGCCCCTGATCACATGTCGTGAGGGCACCACAAATTAAATATTTTTCATCATCTCAAATTACAACTGTGAATTTTTCTTGTCAAGATCTTTAGCCAACTGAAAGTGAAATATTTTGACCTTCTTGAATTTTTGAACAGCCACATGATATATTATTTTGGTGAACTATAAAGAAACCATGTTTTGGAATCCTTCAGATCATAAAACAAACCATAATGTTCAATGGCATATATTTGAAAATCTAAATAAACAATCATTATTGGCTGTTGGTTCTGAGGAATATCATAGCAAAGCCAAAGAAAATTATATAACCATTAGATCTTGGCCCTAGTTTGTGTCTTATATTTGCTGCATGGCTGACAATACCTCACAATCTTATGCATTTACACACACGTTTCTGGAAGCTTTATAGACTTTGATGAAAACCCAAAAGAACCTTGGAAATCCTCAAGTACTTTTTAAATCAATTTAGCCTCTAGATTGACTGTCACTCTAGGCGTTTTTTTTTTTTCCTTCTTTTTTTAAACTCTCTCCGCCCTGTGGACACTAGAGGGCCTCTTTAGCAAGCCCATCATGGGTTCAGCAAGGCCCACAATGGGATGGCTGGGTGGTGAGGGACGGGGGGCAACATATCATGCCAGATCACTCCCCGAAAAATTCCTGGGGATTTTTCAACCCATCCAGATTCAATCCCGGGTCCCCAGAGCAATAGGCTGCCACCTTGACCACTCGGCCATCTGGCTGTCATTGCCACTCCAGGCTTTGACAAGGATGGCAAACCTTTTTCAGTCTGCATGCCATATAGTAAACATACTTATCTTTACAGATGTGTGTATATGCATGCCAAAATTTTACACTTCAAATAACGATATTTAAAGAAATTAAGCAAATATGCTTTAATTTGAATAAATGCAGAAAAAGCTGATTGAAAAAAGGATGATCAGGTGATAATCTGGCACATAACATATACAATTTTTGTTTATTTCTCCAACATGCCACTTTGGACACCCACACCATAGGTTTGCTACCCCTGCTCTATGACATAGCTACAGCATCAGTCACAACACTGGCCTGTTATGTTCTTTTAATTTTGCCCAAAATGATTGATTTGTGGTCTCAATGTAAACTAGTATACCATACATTTAGAGTTTCCATCTACAATAGTAAGTTTAATTAAACTCCTGGTGTTCTTTGGACATCAATCCTCTATTATTATTATAGATATAATCAGACAGTATATAGATTATTACATAACTAATATTTAAAGGAAAATATCTGTCAATTCTGACTAAAAATGGACTTTAGTAGATGGATTACTATCCTCCACTCAACATTTCTTTGAATTTCAGACGTTTAAAACTTGAATATTTAAATACAAAATGACACTCATGTAATATTATAGTCAGATAGCTGAAAATATTCAGCAACAAGTTGCTTAACATTCCTGGTAACTTTTAAAACTGCATGTGATGCCATCTCTCTATTAAAACTGTGTGTGGTGACACAGTTTTAATTATTGTAAAATGGCAAAAAGCTTAATTTTGTGAGGGTAGGGATGGATTCTATAAAGAATTTGTAAATGGTAACGAGTAAAGTCAGACTCTACTCGAGATATGACACACAATCCCCTTTATCTCTTCACTCCTTCAACCATAAATTTTATAGCACCAATCCCAATACACAAACCTCCCTGCAAAATTTCAGCAATTTTCAAAAAAAGCACAAGCTATTCGCCCTTTTTGAAGCTTAATAAAATTGTGCCTCCACACAATTCCCACACAATTCAAGAAAAAACAAAAAACTCAATTTTTTGCAGTTTTTGACATTTCAAGGCCAAGTCTAAACATGGAAAAATCTTAGGGGTCATTTTTTTTAAATCAATCACCATGCTTTCAAAGCTGTTATGTATAAGGAGAAAGTAATAATATTTCAAATATTTTATTTTCTGTAAATTTTAGTTTAAAATCAAACCCTGTGTACATGAATATAAATCATGCTAATTTGTCAGTATTCAATTCCCATCAAAAATGTCTTTGTCCATAATGGGTTAAGTCACAAAGCATGAGAAATGAAACCTCATGTTAGACATATACACAGTATATTCTAATGAGAAGCTCTGTCCCATTTTTCACAATTTGCTGCTTGTGACACAGTCCTTTCCTACTGAATCAGTCACAAACAACTTATAATACACTTTCCCCCATATCATGCATTGTTTGAGATAAAATTTGGAAGTTAGCACTCCTACCACTAGGGGTACTGCAAGCAGTCTAACTTGTATAGTTATAGTATAGTAGTGACTACAGTATATGCTACATTTTTAGGATGATGGCTCTCCACTTGAGCAAGTGAATTATCTCAAAATCATGCTATGTTCAAGAAAATCACCTGACTAGAATCACTTTCAAGTACTTCGGTGACTGAGTACTGGGCCAATGTATATTTTTGCCAGGCAATTCTGTCACAGCCAATCAACTTGCAGTATCCATAATTCCAAGTATCCAGTCCAAGCGAGCATTAGTTCTAAATTATGCCACTATGGAAAACAGCTCCAATGGCAGAACTCAATTTGTGGTATTTTCTGATCATAATTACAAATAAATCATTTGTAATTTCTATGATCAGAAATAGCTATGATTAGAATTAATGCTTGCTAAGGGGCTAGACACTTGTGTACATGACATCATATTTTTACCCATATCCTTAGAACCAGTGTGGAAATTTCAAAAAGATAATATAATATTTGCTTTTTTTTTTTTTAAATTAAATTTAAAAATGTAAATCTTTATTTGTAAAGTTGAAAGTTTTGTTGCCATTTTAAAAATTCCCATACTTCATTGTAAATCGCCTTCAATTTCACGTGAAGATTCAGAGATTGATGCAATCATCCAACATGCCAGCAAAATTGCATAACCTTCACTTGATAAGTGGAGAACCAGCATTAGAAAATAAAAGGAAATGGAGTTACTACCAATTTTACTCAAACTGAATCTGAAAACAATCCATAAATTATCCACATTATTATTGTGTATGTGCGTGTTGTATATATATATAAATCAAAACAAAAGTTGTGACATTTAAAAAAAATTTAATTTTTCAAGGTACAAATTTAAATGATGGACAAAATACAATGATTAATAGGGAATAAGTCTCAACAAATTGCTCTCTATAAAAAGGAAGCAAGCATAAACATTCACATTTATAACCGAACAATGTTACAACTTAATAAAATTATAAACAACACGTACCTCGACAATGCATGCAGCATTTCTCAACATAAATAAGTGTTGTTTGACATGTATAAATGTGTTAAAAAGAACTCTTAACATTGTACATAATAAAAATCATTTCAGAGAACGGCAACGTGATGAAAATTTTGGTTAAAACTTCCACGTTTGCATCTCTGCATACAATACTAATAATGGATAAGACTTTGGCATTGTAAGATGGAAATTTTAGGAAGATATGGAAGAAGATAACACCGATGCTTGTGCTTGCAACTGCTTTGACTAGTTTGAGTGCTTGTGCTGGAAAATATTTGTAATTTATACAATAATTATCTCTTAAATAAATAAGGAGTCTGAAAAAGTATTTCAAACAAAAACGGTGGATTGTTTGCCTACCAATGTTTATCCCTCCTCAAAATTATTAATTGATGATTTTTGATCTTGACGCAATAAATAAATGAATTTCACAGACCCTTATGATGATATATTTCTAAATGACAGCATTTTGAATAGCTTAAGTAGTTAATACCCAACCCTCCCAAAATCTCAAAACTATTAATTGGCATTTTAGCCAGATTGCAAAGGCACCATTGGACTTCCTGCCATAGAAACAAAACTAGAAATCATCACTATATGTTAAGTTTAGATTCGGGTCGAATTAACGGGAGACTAAATTTTAGTTGCCTATAGAAGTACGCACGACACTAAGGGTTGACGGATCCATATCCGGGCAGGAATACCACTAAAAGTAAAAATATAATGTCTACAGAAGCCAATGAAAAAATTAAATTGATTATCAAAAAAATGTTTTGGTCCCAGCACAATCGGGCAATGCTCAAATGTGTCCAAGCCAAAAGAAATCCTCTGAGAGCATAAACACACTCACTCTTCTATTATGAATTATGTACATTCATTGGATATTACAAAGCCCAGTGTGAGAGAAAATAAATATACGTAATATCGTTTGTCCGTACAACAGTCGATCTTTCTATTAGGAAATTACACTAAACAAACAATAAAACTTGTGAACAGAATTGTCTTCACACATAATGTTGACTATGTGGCAATAATGAGGCATTCTCTCCGGAGTCGTCCAAATTATAAAAATGCTTCCAGTCCTGAATGTTAGGTTTTAATAGTCCGAGACATCTCCATTCGAAAAAATCCACCAAATTTCTGCACACTCCATGGCTGAAAGAAAAAATTTTCAATTAGAAAAAAATCAAATACTAGAATATACAATTTATAAACTTACTGAAAAGGGCTGATGATGATTCCTTGTTTGTTCCTTTTAAAATGTGAGTATCTAGCACAATTCATTCGCTCATTAGTTGTCATGGCCAGCCACACAATCTAGAAATAAATTTGCAAATTGGTAACAAACCATTAAATTAAGAAGTAGCTGAATTTGACAACTCACCTGATAAATCTGACACACAAGTAAACAGCCCACCCACATGCCGTGAAGAGCGGCATTTGAGGCTATCCAAGACACCCAACCATTGACAGATAACGAGAGCCATAGGAAATTCAAAAAGGTGGAACTCTTCCAAGAAATGTGGTATAACCAAACTANAATTATGTTCGATTTAACGCAAAAAACTGCATCTGTGCCTGTAAATCTTGCACGTTACTTTCTCTTAACACTTCAATTGTTGAAGCCTTAATCCTGTCCCTTTCCCTGCGGGGGGGATTTCGAAAAATCCCTTGTTAGTGTGTGTTCTCGTGACGTACCCTAACTGTGTACCAAATTTCAAGTTTCAACACCTAACCATGCTGAAATGCTCATATATATATATGCACGCCATCTATTGTAGGATAAATGTACTATGCCAGAAACCTTTGCGAGAGTGTATTAAACAACTTTCCAAAGTTTCATGTCAATCGGATAAATGGCGTAGTAATGCATGAAGGACAGACAGACATCTATATATATAAAAATGATTGTATAAGTTAAAAATCTACATAGTATGTAAGTATTGTGTTTTTATCCTTATTAATGTCCATCTAAGTGTTTTAAGTTTATTACCTACTATAAATTCATACCAGATTTTAAAAAAAATTTCTTAAGCTTTTTGGCATAGAAAAATTGATGAATTTTTATATACCAAATAAGCAATTATTGTGACATCATCACAATAATTGCCATCACAATAATACAATGCCAGCCAGGCTGCAAGTTTTAATCATATTTTTAATTTATTTAATTCAAAATATATGCTCTCCACCTCAAATTATTAGTAGTATTTTGCCCCTGTGTATCATACTTTCCTTTAACAATAGAGTTGTTAATGGTCATCTATCAACTGCTTTCAGGGAAAAAAGCAGTTGATAGATGATTTTAGTGGAAATGATTTTATAAATTGAAATAATGTGACTTCCAGTTTGCATTGGAAGCGTGTATATAGTTAATCAGGACTTAACCCTAACTGTCCTTAAAGTTTCCATATCTGGTCTTGGATTTCATTTGCTCTCTGCGGCCAACAGAAGCTGCCTATTTAGTTTCCCATCTGCTTGAATATGCAAGGTGAGGTACATTTTCTCACCTTCAATCCAAAGTTGGTATGATAAAAACACAAGCCACCTTCTGGTTCCTTGTACTGTCGATGCTGCCAAGATGATCTGCGTTCATGATTGTCCTGGGAAGTTTGAGAATTATGTCTCACTTGGTATTGATGGTGTGATGTACGTACCAGGGTGAAAAGTTCTGTTTCTTGATTGAAGCATGTGGCATGACAGATCATGTATTTTATCAGTCTTGGCAGCAAGTTGTAATAGGGCCTCATTTTATGCAGCCAAAATAGCCTGAGTGTTCCTCGGAAGTCGCTGGAGTCCCAATGACTTTAGCAAATCTTCACTAAAGTGTACACTGGTGAGATTGTGCATTTTTGTGAAACAGCAATTGTGATGGCCATTGGTTATTTCCAGCCCTTGTAAGAGTTCAGAGTTTAGATGTTTGACTTTCCTCATAGATATCAATTAGTCTCCTTTTGATTGTGTCATATTTATTGTACTCGGGTGGTTTTGTCACTAAGTGATGTATGGATTCTAAAATGTCCAATTCAATCATTGAAATGACATAGTAATAATACTTCATTATGTCGGCAAAGATGAAGCCCAATTTGCCATTGCCAATGAATTGTGCAAACCTCAGATTTGAGTTGTTTTTCCAAAACAGAGGTTGTTTAATGGCTACATGGCAGACTTGGGAACTTCAGTTGGTTCCATGCCAAACAGTGACTTTTAGTGGAAATGAAGGTGGAAGACAGTTAATTCCTGTTTATGTAGTGTGTGTGGTTGTAGCCCTCTACCTTATACGTATCATATAGTTTTTTTTTTTTTTTTGCTTTTTTTTGGCTACTTTTCAGCCATGGGGAAAAAGGGGTGGCAACTTGGGGAAGGTGTAAGGGAGGTATTTAAGGCCATGGACCGGATAAGGGATTATCCTTCTTACCTCGTGGATAGATAGAGGAGTCAGGGAACACGTGGTGCTCCTTCTCCACGATTGAATAGTTGAGTTCAGCACCGTGAAGTTTCTTGCTAAAAAACCCGACGGGTGCGAGTTGGTCCCCGCACGCTTGATGTAACACGGCCCCCATGGCAAATTCAGATGAATTGGTGTGCAGGGAAACACAGATGAAAAGTCTGGGTGTTTCAGTGTTGGAGGAGTAGTGATAGTGTTTTTTAACTTACTGAAACTATCTTCACATTCCTTCGACCATTGGAATCAACGCCCCTTCTTGGTTAATTCGGTGAGCGGCAGGGCGATGTGTGCAAAGTTTCGTATAAAGGGGCGGTAGAAGCTTAGGGCTCCCAAGAAGGATCTTACTTCTTTCACCGTCTTAGGTTGCGGTATCTTTAAAAAGGCACTTATATTATCCGGATCTGGCGTCACCCCATTCTCGTTAATCACGTGACCCAGATACCGGACAGAGTTCACGGCAAACTTGCACTTTGAGGGCCGCAAAACTAATTCAGCTTCCCTAATACGGCCGAGTACGTCTCTTAGCAATTCCACATGTTCGTGCATAGTTTCAGAAAATAAAACAACATCATCTTGGAATACAAAACAATTTACTCCCACATGTTTGGAGAGTATAGAATTCATTACCCGCTGGAAGTAACGTCCTGAGTTCTTCCCCCCTTGGGGCATGCGGCATAATTGATACTTACCCCAAGGGGTTGTAAAGGCAAACACCTCCCGTAGGTGGGGGGCCACAGGTATCTGAAAATAACCGGAATTTAAGTCCAGGACGGAGAACACCTTCCCCCCTTTCAGCTGGGCTAAAATATCATCAATTCTCATCAAGGGAAAATCTTGTCCCTTGGTGACCTCATTGACCTTCCGCAAGTCCAGGGTAAGTCGAATTTCTCCGCTACTCTTTGGGATAATGTGTATCGGGGAGTTCCACTCGGATAGTGACGGTTCAATGATACCAGCCTCTAGATACTGTTGGATTTTGTCTTTTAATTTCGATAGGAAGGTATGAGGGATACGGTATTGTCGAGTGTATATTGGGGTGCTAGTGCACAATTCAAAGTCATGGATATATTTAGTGGTACCGGTAAGCCCTTCGACCGCCTCATTGAAGATGTCAGAAAAGTCTTGGATGAGCTTCTGTACCCCTACAACCTGATCCGGAGGGAGGTGAGTCAAGTCAATTTGCTCAGTGAGGTTAGGTGGCTTAGGTGCTTCATGAAGCGACGCAAGTGCAAAGGTCAGTTTTTTCTCAGTCAGAGGGCTTCCTCTAGTCATGAGACATGCAATCTTATGTAACATCTCAGGGTAAGCACGCAGGAAATCCATACCCAGGATGCCCTGATTATCCACCAAGATTGTTGAATCCACCACGATAAATTTCACGGGAAACGCCTTATCATTTAACCTCACTTTAATTAATAATTCTATATTGCTTTTCATGACTCCGCCTGACACTCCTTTCACCCGCACATTTACAGTGCTGGTATTAAGGGAGCTACCCTTTAGGTGATCTAGTTCACAACGATTTATAAGCGATTTTTCCGCACCGGTGTCTAATAATAAGTTCAGCGCACGGCCGTTGATCTCCCCGGAAATGTATGGGAGGTTGTGGT